TGTACATCTCCCCCCCGGACCACCCCAACGATGCCGCGGAAGTGATGTCCCGGTGCCTGGAGGCCGTGCGAGTCTGGATGGGGAGGAACAGGCTTCGTCTCAACCCGTCCAAGACCGAGTGGCTGTGGTTTCCGGCGTCACGTCATAGCCAGTTGGTTCCATCTCTGGCTATCGGGGGTGAGTCATTAGCCCCCACGGAGAGGGCCTGCAAACTGGGCGTCCTCCTGGATGCTCGGCTGTCTTTAGACGATCATGTGACGGCCGTGGCCAGGGGGGCTTTTCATCAGGCTCGCCTGATACGCCAGTTGCGTCCCTTTCTGGATCGGGACGCCCTACGCACAGTCACTCAAGCCCTCGTTGTTTCCCGCCTGGACTATTGCAATGCTCTCTACATGGGGCTCCCCTTGAGGTGCACCCGGAGGCTCCAGCTAGTTCAGAATGCGGCTGCGTGGGGGATTTTGGGGGTCTCTAGATGCTCCCATGTAACACCTCTCCTGCGCGAGCTGCACTGGCTGCCAGTGGCCTTCCGGGTGCGCTTCAAGGTGTTAGTAACAACTTTTAAAGCGCTCCATGGCAATGGACCTAGGTATCTGCAAGACCGCCTCCTACCAAACACCTCCCTTCGACCAGTCCGCTCCCACTGGCCGGAGTGCCGTCGGCCAGACAATGCCGGCTGGCGACCCCCAGGGGGAGAGCCTTCTCTGTGGCAGCTCCTGCCCTCTGGAATGACCTACCCCCCGACCTATGTACAGTTGCGGACCTGCACCTTTTTCGCCGAGCCCTGAAGGCCCATCTATTCCGTGCAGCTGGCCTGGCGTAGTTTGATTATGTTTTAGTGGGGGTTTTGTATGGGGTGTTTTTAGAACAGGCCTGTTATTTAATTTGATTTTAGAACAGAAACTATTTATTTATTATTGTGGTTTTTAGTATCGCCTGTTCACCGCCCTGAGTCCCTTAAGGGAGATAGGGCGGTATATAAATTTAATAAATAATAATAATAAATAATAATAATAACAGGTGCCTTCAGGTGCCTGTCCTACTGCTAAAGAAAGAAATTCAGCGTTTTCCTTCCTGATACCTTCCTCCAAAAGAGTTCTTCATGAAAACGTATTTTTCCTAGCTTACCCCAGTGGCAGAGATATGAAGAAAATAAATGTGAGGCATTCTACTTTACCTTCTTCCCAAAACTCCTCGATTGACTCACCTAGTGTGTTTGTTGACACCAAGAACAGAACAAGCCCACCTCAGGAACCATAAAACAATTTACTTTCTAATAATTTTTTATGCTGTTAATGTCATAATCTTAAGAAGCCTTAAAAACTGAGCAATCTCTGTGGAAATCCTAGACTGTAAATTATGTTTAGTTTGTCATTTTTTTTCCTGCAAGCTGTTTCAGTTGCCCATACTGACAACAAGCACAATATAAATGTAAATAATCATAAGTGGCATTTATATGGGCTTAAATTCATGGCCCTTATTATATCTTTGGTTCTTTAGGCATTGAATGAGGCAGAGTGTTGAAACAGCAAACAAGTTTATTAACCCAGAACAGAAGCAGCCCTAAAGGCTGCTGCACAGCTATTTATACAGTTAGCTTCTAGGTGGCAACCAATAGGTTTAAAGTAACAGTTCCCCCCCCCCAACCTCATTATCAGCTTGGAGACAGCCAGTCTGGCTTCCAGTAACAGCAACTGTTAAACAATACAGCAATGTAGGTCAGACATTAAGCAAGTGATTTAAAACAGTTGTGGCCAATACATTACAGCCCTGAACGGAAAAATTATTTGTATAGAATTTGTGGAAAAGTAGCATATACTGGAAATAATAAATTAGTGAAACCATCTTTCATTTTTGACCCAAAGAGGTCATTAATCAGTTCTATTTCCACACAGTAGTGGCCATGAGACTTACCCCACAGACAGCGGCCTGCATCATGGCATCGAGTCCTCCTTCTGGTGCATCAAGATTCCCCGATATGTTCTGCTTCCCTACTTCTTCTTGAAAACTCTGTACATCATCAGTGAGGCTAAGCACATGTCTGAAAGCAAATGGTGGTTGGCACTTGGTCTCCTTGGTTGGGCATGGATTCTGGAGCTTCTCTGGATGTGTGTTTACAAATGGCAAGACAGTCTTATCCACAAAGGCACCAAAACCTAAAGAAAATGTTAAGGAACAGTAGTCAACTTTGTTCAATATAAATGTGTGTGGGAGAACCATAAATCACTTCATTAAGTGATTTAAAAATAAAAATATAGGAAAAAACAGGACTATATATGGAATTATTAAAATTATAAAAGATTATCCTTTAATAATCAGATGCATTTGGATAAATATATATTTATCTCATCTTTCATTAAGGAATAGCTATTTTCCTTGTACACAGCTGTTGTGCAAAACTGAACTTATATGATGCTTTCCCCTTTGTTTAGAAATACTGTTCCCTCTCATTTTCCACTAGCTTCTGTCTTTCAAAAACTTGTTTTGGAGATGCCAATTGTCTTAAGAAGAGCTTGGTTGGACTGCACTGAGGGACTACCTAACCAAGCATTCTGTTTCTTGCAACAGTCAGTCAAATCTTGTCTGACATCTATGAGAAGGACATGAGGATAACTGATATTCAAATCCATGCTAACTCTCCTGGAGAAGGCATATTATGTTTACCAACCATTAGTAGCTTTATCCTCCATGAATTATCTAATATTGTTTTAAAGCCATTTAAGGTGAAGGCTCTCAGCATAGCATGAAAGAGTGAATTCCACTATTTCATTTAGTAGTATGAGGAACACTTTCTTAAATTCCCCCAACTTATAGCTTATTTGTAGGATCTTGGTTTGCAGTACAATCTGAGGAGGAGATTTTTAAGGTTACCTCAAAAGGCTTTAGTGCTGATCTCTCAATATTATCATGTCCCTGTATTTTTCCAGCCCAAATTCCAAAATGTCACTTTGCAAAACTTCCATTTACAAATTGCGATGCTGGAGCTCTTTGGTGCTTGGGACAGGCTGGCTTCCCATTGATATTTCTACTTCCCCATTGCAGACAAGCTACAAATCTTGGTACTGTCACACTGGGCTTTTCAACCACCAGGGATATACATTATTTGCTCTGGTGAGGATGGCACATGCAGTGCCATTAAGTAGTTGATTTGGCACTCCTGCCACCAGAGGAAGCCCTTGGGTTGCCCTTAGTGGTTATTCAAAATGGTTGAAGTGGGGAGAAGTGCAGACCATTGTGAGACCAAATCTGAGGGCTTCAAGAGTGGAAACTATACTAGCATAGAAGCTCCATAATCCAGAAAACACCAAATAATGTAATCCTTCTTTACAGAATTGTTGTACCAGAACCTTAGTCTCTTATTTCCATGGTATGACATTTTATTATGTCAAATAAAAAAGAAAAGAAAGCTAACTATAAAGTATAGTTGTATCTAATGTTAAAATTCTGAAACTGGCTATTTCTTCAAAATGCAAAATTAAGAGATGTTAATTAAGACATGAGATATACCGAACCCCATTTTATAGAATTTCTCAGTGGAGTTTTAGGAGCTGGAAACACTTGGAAAAATAAGAATCATGTCAAGCTTAATTCTCGGCCACTCATGGACACTGCCATGCCATTTTCTTATCAATAATATGAAGCCATTTGCACTATCACCACTTGGAATATATTTTTGAAATTTCAACAGCCTTAGGGTTTCAGGGTGGTCTCTTACTGAGCACTAATTGGGTATGATCCTTATTAGCTGTTTTTCAAGATCAGCTAAAATTGGTTAAGTGCTTTCACCTGCTGTGACAGAAGACAGTTGCATATTTTAGTAGAATGCACATACCTATCCGTGCACGTTTGGTAATACTCTGGAGAGCTTTAAGGAGATCTCCTCCTAATTTCTTCACTGTTTGCAGATCATCGTCCATAGAGAATGAGAGGTCCATCAAATAATAGAGATCTATTGGATAATCTTCCCCACGCTGGAATGTCACATTAAAAACAGCAGGTTGTTCTATTGGTAAAAGGGAAGATGTTGAACATCTGCTCCAATTTTATCTCATCTCACAAACCTAATGATGCTTCTCTGAACTAGATGACTGTAGGCTGAGTAGTGATTGTGAGATGTGTGAGAAACCCATGAAAGCACATGAAAGGGCAGAAGAAATCAGCATGGTGGTCAAATTGTGACAAAATGATAAAGAAGGCATCACTGAAGTTAACTAGGTCCCAGGGGAAGGTGCAGTGTGAGGATAGGAGCAGAGGAATACAGTGAGAAATACACATAATGAAAGTGGGGTATGGAATATTTGGTAGAGAAGCAGAAAGCAAGCCAGCAATCTTTGTGCATATACACATACACAAACACACACAGACACACGGTTCACATGCTTATTTCCCTATTTTCTTTAATTTGCATAACTTTATATATGATACTCAGATCTCACATATTCTGAGATGTGCATATGGTGTTTCATTATAGTTAAAACTAGGAAATTTTAAAGTAAAAAATTGAAATTAATAGAATTGAAGTTAGCCTGAATTATTGTGCCAAAGTCATAGTGAATTAATTGCCTTGGAAAATACTGTTAGTTATATTGTCTAAACAGAGCTTTTGAATAAGAAAAATCAAAATATCAATATATTTGAAGCTGGATCTATACTAATTCTCTATTTTAAAAAATGCTTGATAAGAAATGGAAAAAGTCACATGTGTCATATGCTTCCTATCCTTAAATTGCAGCTGTTCTTTTAGCCATTTCCTAAGTTTCTGATTTGAGGTTCAGATTCTGAGATACCTGGTCTTAAATGTAGTCGCACCTCCTCTGGATAGATTTGTTTCTTCGTGTTTGATTGATCAGAAGAAACTGGATGAGCAAAGCTTTCTGGGAAAATAATGTTCCCATCACATCCCTTCTCAAGGAGCTTTTGCTTTGTGTCACATCGAACTGAATCTGGTTCTCCTATTTTTGTGAAATCCTGTATTTCATAACAATCAAAGCACAAAAACAATTAATAAGCTTGAGATATTTATTGGGTAGACCTAAAATATTTTAGATAGAGGAAAATATTATTTTATTGTTAAAGGGCACGCTTCTTGCAATCATCATCATCATCATCATTATGATCATCATCATTCTAGCAACTCTGGACAGTTCACCAATTATTTAAGACATTTAAAAACAAGTAAAAGTACAAAAAACATAAAATTATGAAACACAGATAGGAACAAGAGAAACAAAGTAAATGGAGATCAATTATTCTCACCAAGGTCTTAGCAAAGAACCATGCCTTCAAGGCCCTTCAAAAAACCAGTAGAGTCAGGGCTATTTATTTCTTAAAATAATAATTAGGTCACTTGGTATTTCACAGCAATATGAAGATAGTACCTCCTTCAAGTTGAACTCAATTTTTAGAACTTCACGACATGGCTATATAGCTTCCTTGACAACAATACAGAAGTGGTATGAGATTGCATTTTTCGAGGGTACTTTTTCATCTAGCCTAACTTACAGTCCACTGCATCCTCCTCCTAGTCAGCGAGATGTGGTCAACAGTATATTGGCTTGCAAACCTATATCTCAGATATCCTAAATTGCATAAAATAGCATAAGCATGCCAAACTGGGCATTAGTTGCTCTTAGGGCAGTCTGGCCAAAATTCGCCCAAACTGGCTGATAGTATCATTAGCAAGAGATTCTGCAATGGTTCCAGCATGACTGAGCTATTTTTATTTTTCTCTTGTGAAAAATGGTTTAAAATTCTTGATTGACCAAAGCCTTGATTTGCACAATCAAAAGTAATTGAAAATGTAAATTTACAGGATTTATCAAGTGTGCACAAAATAATTATTATTTCTTTGGTCTATTAAGAATAACTTTTTACAAGACCTTTGAATATAAATATTCTTTCTGGAATCAATAAAACCTATTTTTTAATATCTTCCTTATCATTCTACTCCTTTTTAGTTGAAAAACTAAAAATGGATGAGAATGAGAAGAATCTTACAGATTTTACATACCACCTGTTCTGTTTCCCTAGCATTTACAACACCAAATCAGAATACCTAAAGCACTGTAAGCACAAACATATTTATATTGTTATGTGTTTAGAGTGCAAGGACAATACCCAATCAAAACTTAATTATGCTCCACAATAAGAGGGGAAATTGTTTGGTTCCTCATCTTAGCAACATTTATTCCTGTATGCTTGTGGTGGCTTGTACATGCATTCTTTCCTTGGGATTAACATTAGGTGTGAATGTAAGAAAAGTTTGAAAAAAAAAGTACAATATAGAAATGTACTCAAATTATAATCAATAGAAGTATCCATAGTTACTTTTGCCTGCTAGGAACCAGCTAGGATAGGCATCTGATTTCTGATCCAAAACACTATTGCCTGCAGATGCACCAAATTTTTCAGTGGATATCTAAGGAAAGTGTGAGTACTGTGCACATAGAAATGCTCACACTAACAGTGATCCTTTCCATCTGAAATTCTACCAATATATTGGTTCCATTAGTATTTATTTATTTATTTATTTATTTAGTGTATGGCATAATCATGGACTAGTAATATAAATTAACATTTCAACTAGATTAGTAGAATCCAATAAAATATAAATGACAAAGATATCTATGTTGAAATATTAATGTCTCTAGGTCATCTAACCATTAAAGATCAGCATTGTTTATATTAAAAAAAAATCAAATGCTGGACCGGTATATGCCCTCAGCTTTCAGCCGGTCATGATGTAAATCTACAATTTGACATGGGACCCCAACTGAGTCACACGGAGGGGAGAATATTTTGCCCCATTTATACAGAGGGTCCTGGCAAATGCCGGGTGCGAGGTGCAAATCCTATTCAGGATTGTCCATTTCTGATGTGGTAGTTCAAAGCCTGGCATCTTTTTTTGTGGGATCTTTTATATGTCTTTCTATGTCTGGGCATTCAGTGACCCCTTTGATTTTCCTCTAGGAATCATTGTTAAAGTTGTTGGGCAGATGCTGTGCTAGTGCCAGTGGGGGATTTCCTGGATTTTAGTTCCATTACTAACAGCTATAAGAAAGAACATTACAGTCGGCTTTATTTCCCATAACCCCAGTAAAATAGCATTGCGACAGATGAGTCAGAGAAGGTCAAATTCATCTGATGATAAAATAAAGATAGAATTCTTTTTTTTTAGTATTTTCGGACTGCAAGTATTTTCTTTTTTGGGAGCACTGACAGCAAGCCTTTTCATAAAGCAGAACTTGATGTGAGCCAAAGTTTCCACCCAAAGCAAAAAGAAACAACTGAAAGACACTTTAAAATGTAAGAGTTTGTTTTTTTGTTTCTCTTTCTTTAAAAAAAACCTACCCGTTTCTTGCACCAGGCACAACCAGGGCCAGACTCAATGCAGTCCTGACATGTTTTTACATTATATTTGGTACATCCGAGAGAAAATGCTTAAGAAGGAAGAGGAAGAAAATGTTATAAAAGAGCTATAATGAACAACAGATAAAACAGAAGTACCTGAACCTCCCCAGATATGAAAATAACCCACCTTGGCAGCAATCGACAATCTGGAAGTGCATTTTGCCAACCACCCCAAGCATCAGCTGTTCTAAGTCCTCAACTTAGGATCACAATTAAGCCAAAATTTTCTGTGATTGTTAAGTGAGCTTTGCCCCATTTTACTACTTCTTTTGCCACAGTTGTTAAGTGAACCACTACAGATGTCAAATGAATCAAGTGGCCATGACTCATTTATGAATCTGGCTTCCCCCATTGACTTTGCTTGAGAGAAGCCAGCTGGAAAGGTTAAAAACGGTGATCCCATGACCCTGGGACAGTGCAATTATCATAAATACATGCTAGTTGCCAAGCACCCGAATTTTGATCACATGACTATGGGGATGCTGCAATGATCGTAAGTGATAAAACAGATCATAAGTCACTTTTTTTCAGTACTATGATAAATTTGAACAATCACTAAAGAATGGTTGTAAGTCGAGGACTACCTGTACTAAAATGATGTTCTTTTTCTTTTATGGGCCTGTAAATCTATAGGTGTGACCTTTGCTTTGACACTGGAACAAGACTACCTGCCTGCTAGCAGCCTCCTGAAAAATCCAAAAAACTGTTTCTACACTACGCTCGGAGATACTGAGGTAAAGGATGTTGACCCTCAACTCCACCATTTGCAACAGCAAATTAAGAGGCTCAATTATAGGGGAAACCAAATCAATAAGCGGTTCGGCTGTATCGATTGTAACCAATAAGGATTTCTTTAGATTTTCTAACTTGAGTAATATATTATCTTGTTCACTCCTTGGGAGAGCACCAAAAGCATTAATGAGCCCAGTTTCTGTGCTATTAAGTACATCTTCTGTAAGTGCAATAGGTCCTTAAATGCAATCAAACATTACTTTTACACAGGCGGAGGTCAATTAGTACCTGCTGCCTTAAAACTTTTTGAGGCCAAAACATTGGCGCAAATTCTATATGGGGCACAAACAGGAATCCTTGCAAAGAAAAACTTGCTGGAAACCATACAAACCAAATTCCTGCGAGCCATCTTAGCTGCACCCAAAGGA